CAGTTTATAGGAGAAGACTGACCCCAGGCCTTCCTCGTTGCAACAGGAACTGCTGGTTAAGGTCTCTCCCTCCCTGTGGGCATTGTGAGCCAATCATGCCAACCAGGTTGGGTGCATTGAGTCTGCCCAACCCGTTAAGATTGGCCTAAACCCAACAAGAACCCTTCCCAAGGTGCAGCAGTACCCTCTATCAAAACAGGCCAAGGAAGAATCCAATCTGTGGTTACCTCCTTGATTTAATAAAAAAGTCATTATTCCTATGGTCAGTAAGTGTGACTCCCTCGTTTTATCATGCTGTTCATGCTGTTGTTCTTTCTTTCTCTCCCGTTGTCCCTAGCCCTGTTATTATTCTTTTTTATAATGTACCAGTGCTGAGGGGTTATTATCGCCTCAAGAAGAGATTGTATTAAGTCTAGATATAAAGAATTAAAGTTATTATTAAATAAGATGCATCTAGATGTAATGTGTGTATGTAAATAGGTGTATATAAATAAATAAAAGGGGGGTTAGTCATAATGCCCACCCTCCTTGCTAAATTGGTAGTGAAACAATGCCTGTGCCCATGGAAAGAAATAATGCAGCAAAGAAAAAGGATCGGGCCCAAACAAGCAGGCAACCAGAGTTTGAGGAAGTTGAAAGAAAGAAAGTGACAAGTTAACTCTGTAGTTACTGGAGGGAATCAAGCAGTGAAACTTGGTAGGAATGTCTGTAAGTAATCCAGGCAAGAGGTTATTTAAGTGGAATTATTCAACTATGAATAATTTAGTCGAATTTGCTGAAGAACACTCCTGCTGTGTAAAATCTGTATTTTATAAGTTTGAGATGAATTGGTATTGTTTAAAGTTGCAAAACTGAGAATACTTTTGCCAGACACAGGAAACTAGTGTTGTTTAAGGTATTTAGCATTAAATCCTTAAGGTGACTTAATGCTTTACAAGATTTAAAATGTTTTAAATAAAGACCAAAGGTTGTGGCTGCAGCAGGGTAGTCAAAGCCAGGAGAATAAAAGATTTGAATTTGTTTCTGGGTAACAAAATAACAGATAAAAGATCTGGTAAAGAGAGAGAAGGACAGTGCCACTGGTTCTGTGTGGTCAAGCTGTCACTTTGCTGTGGGTGCATGAAGATTTTGTAAGCACAAAAGAAACAGTTACACCTTGTGTAGAAATTAATGAAGAGAATGTGCATTTTCCCCAGAACATGTGCAGTGTATATTGAAGCAGAGGTAAAAGAAATGCAAACCTACCTAAATAGGTTGTGTTGTCTTTTTCAGATCACTATATGTTTGAAAATAGAAGTTAAAAGTTAATTGTGTCCTTTTTTTAAGTAAGAGTCTTTAAGCTGTGGATGGCTTTTGATCCAGAACCAAGCCAGAAAGCATCTATACTAATGCAAATAATCTTAACTGATACCCCCCATGCATGCATGAAAATAAAAAGGCCTCAGGCGATTCTGATTCAAACACAACGCATGGTCATTTTTCCACAACAGCTGCGTGAAGAAGAACTTCCTTGTGTGGAAGCAGAGAAAGAACTGACAGGAAGGGGATGCAATACATGAC